GTATGTCCCACACATTTTGAAACACCGTGTACCTTTGGAACAATAATCACCATCGGTTCAGTTAGTGGTAAAACTGTAGGTACTCTAATTTTGTTTATCTACTCACTGCATCGAAAGTAAGCGTTTGCTCCCTCATTTAAGGACACATTCAATGGCACAAACCTGTCCTCACTCCCAGGGAAGGAATAAATGAATAAATAACTTTGCTTTAGCTTGCTTCTTTGGTAGACACCTCTTCATATTCCAAACTTACTAAATCGAAACTTTGAATAAAATTCAATTACACAATGAACAAATTCAATGTGACAGAAGTGTCACCTGTCAAATTGATTTTCGTTCAGTTTCAAAAATACCTTAGATCATGTAATACATTGATTTGGAACGAGACTGGAGAGAGACCACTTGGAGCACAATTTTAAGAACGACGCTCTCAGATATATGCGTTTGTGTATAAAATTATATATATATCTTGGAAGCAAAGGTTCATTTCCTTCCATGTGTGTTTAATGTGTTAAACTTCATACGCAGGAGGAAATGGATACTTTTGCTCCCTTGATATATAAATAGCTATTTTCGTTTTAATTCAAGGAAAGTTCATGACGGTTTTGCCGAATCAGAACTCACTACTATGATCATTTATATTCCATTATGCGACTGCTAAAAATATAGCAGTGTTCTTTGACATTCAAATCAAAAAACATGGGTTATTTTTATATACAATTATTTTATTTCGCGTCTGTCTAACATACAGTACAATTTTGTGTTCACAGTGTCCCAAAGGGGGGGGGCGGTAATTCGGGGCGGGTGGTGACAGAAAGCAAAAAAGCGCCGCAGGCAAATTTTGTCGATGTTCAAGGTAAATTGTCAGATTGAAATTCAGTTTGTTTTATTCATCTGGAAATTTGAATTTTTTGTATACAAAAAAACAAATTATATAAATTTTAAGTATGCTTCCACTCAAAAAAATGCCTGAGTGATTCGGTAAGACGATTTAATGAATACGTAAATCACATTATTGTTGATTGTTTTCTGAATATCTCCACTCGAGGACTCAAAATTGCGCCATTTCCACAGATTAAATACTTTTCTGAAAAATCTAGTTTGAGAAAAATGACTAAATACCATCAAATAATTCTTTATAATTTTGGTTGTCATGCTTTCAAATGTTGAGTTTCGTCACTGGGGAAGTTAGGGCAAACTCTTTTCGCTGTCATAATAACAAAATCACAGCTGCTTACGGGATTTCATAATATAAAACGAACCTTTTTTCTCTGCAGTTTTAGCATTTTCAGATTTTCTTTGATCGTCTGGGGGGGGGGGGATTTTATACGCGCCTGACATTTTCACCCATTCTGTTAACCTTGAAATTTGGCTGGGTGTTATCGAAATAGAACAGTTCAGCTATCGTTGAGACAGAAGAAATGTCTTCCCCATCTGTCCTTCTCTTCAGTGTTCCAACATAACATAATGACATTTTTATGTTGACAAAAAAAATGAGGAAAAGACAATATTCTAACCTTTTTTATATCGAGGTTAATATGATTTTCTTCGCCATTTTTCCCCATTTCCAATATTACCAACATAAAATGTACATTATTTCACGTTGGAACACTGAAGACAAGGACAGATGGGGAAGACATTTTTTTCTCTCTTAACTATTGGAGCGATAAATGAAATTGTGTGTTATATAAGACATAATGGCGCACTAAATCAAAAGAGGAAACAACATTGTAAGTCATTGATACTACTACAATGTACTTTAATTTTTTTATGTTTGTTGTCTTTTATCACCCACTTCATTTATTGCTCCAATTTCGGAATCACCCTGTCTAGTTCCGGTGACGTAATTTGACATTTTTGTTAAAATTTCTCATCTTAGTCCGAATATTTTCTGTTAGATAGCCAATATATTCATAATTTCTCCCAAATAGCATCTTGGTAAATTAACCCTCTTACAATTTCTTGTATCAGTCGGATGGATAGGGAATTTTTGTAGATTATTAAACTATATACAGGGTGTCCAGAGATAAAACCGACACTTATGGGATTATAGGAACTGCCAATATGATTGCAAATTGCCATATACTAATGTCCAAAACCACTTCGTTCCAATACAGAGTGGTTTGTGGATTTTGACAAAAGATTCAATCTGAATTCATGAATTCAACTGAAATTTTCCTCCTATGTTGAGTTATTGTGAGAATAACTCACCCTGTATAATAATGATTAAGAATCTGAGCTTGTATTATAAATCTACGTAACTTGGAACTTGTGAAAAAGTTTCTGGTACTATTTCAGTTATTCCGGATATATTCGGTTAATCAACCGAGGTTACCGATGCTTATGCCAGTCATTTGTCAAATTAGTTTTGATCGTTTTTTGAACATTTGTGCTCTTCCAGTATTTGATTTTTAATTATGACACCCAAACGTCCCTAATTCTTATGCATAGTAAGCATAAGCAAAGGATTTAGTGTCCTGAAATAGAAAAAAACGATCCATGGGAACTTAATGCAACAATTTAAATGGGAATATTGTTCTTCGTTGTAATTTGTAAATCGACGTATCAAACCGAAAACTGAAACACGTCAACCCATACTCACGTAACTTAACAGAGAAAATCCACGGTCGTTCTGGCGACAGTGTATCTTCTGCCTTTTCAGCAACCGAATTCCGTAAATAACCTATTTTTCAGGAACCAACCCAACATTTCATATTTAGAGAACGAAAAACTACTAACCCAAATAACCAAGTGGATTTAATTATTATTTTAATTTTTTTATCAATCGTCGCATAGAATATCATCAAAAATGGAAACAGAATAAATATTCATGATATCAAGACATAATTGTTGTTATTCTCTTCGATTACTTCGGAGTAATGCTCTTATAACCTAAAAACTAGAGAATGAATTTGTATCAGGGCCGGAATGAGTCTTTTTTATGTTCTTGTAAGTATAACTGACCTATTATAACAATTATCATTTATCTGATCGTAGATTCGGAATCAACTGAAAAAATCGTATAGGAACTTGAATTGTGAAAGTTTTTTATGAATCCCTTCTTTTCGTAATGTTTATTACTGTATAATCTTCACTATCACGTATTCTATAGAATAAAACACCAGTAACTCTTTATAGCTCGGCTATCGTATATTGACTGACTCACATTTCTGTATCCACACATCATATCGCTATGTTACATAAACATCCGATTCATAGCCTGAATCATCTATATACTACAATTACAAAAAAACATTGTTCGTTGTGTTGTATTTCCTAAATTCAATAATTCGAATTGATTGGTGAGCAAATATAATTCACGAAAAATTTAGTCCAGTCCGTTAACAACAAGTTTCTATACGATTTTTTAGTTGATTTCGAATCTATGATCAGATAGGTCAGTTTCTTACAAGAACATGAAAAAGAGTCATTCCGGTCCTGATACGAATTTATTCTTCAGAATTTTTAGGTTACGAGGGTGATTTATAGAATATTTCTTCGACGTCTTCAAAGAGAATAACGACCATTATGACTTGGTTTCGTAAATATTTATTATATTTTCATTTTTGATGATATTCTATCAGACAATTAATGAAAAAAATTATTATAATAATTCTTTACGGAATAACTTGAATTGTGGTAGAAAATGATATAACAAGATCCTATAGTATTTTATCCGTAGACTTTCAATCAAGCTCAGATTTTTGATCGAGCTCAGTGTAGTATCCCTTTATACACTATAAGGAACTCACAATGTTATTGGTATATTTCACTTTGTAATAAAACACTTGTATGCAATTAACTTCACTCGGTCGTCACCCTATCGCTGTCTAACGCTTACTGTCCTATCGTCCCCGTTACTCAGCGCTCAGGTGATTTCCGTTGATAGTCGTTTATTGTGTAATCAAGGGTGATACATCAACTCATACACTACACTCAGATTTTTGATAATTATTATACAGGTTGAGTTATCCTCACAATAACTAAACATAGGAAAACATTAATATTACGGTCCTGATATTGATTTCGATCGAAGGGCTACTTGTTGAAGCCTTTCAGTGTAATAAGTCGTCAACATAATTTGAATCCGATCGGGTATTCCCTGTAATTAATATGACGGATGTAATTTCTTGTCAAATTCCACAAATCACACTGTGTGTCAGTAACGAAGCGGTTTTGCACATTTGTATATGGCATTTTGCAATCATATCAACAGTCCCTATAATAACCTCATTAATTTTGTTGGTTTCATCTCTGGGCACCCTGTGTATCTAAATCAAATGTATAAACGAAATGGTGTTGTGAAGAATAATAAAAGTCAAATAACATTTTATTATACTCTATTTCAACATTCTTAAAACAATGAAAGTTATTTAGGATAATACTAGTGGAATGAGGGCTCTTATATGTGTAAATAATGCAAAAGTTATCAGTAGTTACTAACATTAGGTGAGGTATAGATAGAAATAGATAGGTATTTCATTGAAATTCTTTAAATTTATGAAAAGAGGTCTTGAAAATCCACCAAATCCAATCCATCGATTTGTTACTATTTGCATGTATATTCTTGAATATTTCTGATTTGATTGATATGATTGGTATGATTCAAGCTTCGCCATTCTATATTCTAGTTATTTTCGGTCTCATCCAGTTTATTTTAAATAAAGAGAGATGTACTTTAATTTGGTATATTTTCAGGACTTCATACACTTCCACGAACCCTATAGGAATAATGCCAGTTACACCTATCTTCATGACTTATATTGAAAGTGTGTACCTTATCGAACGCTAAACATTTTACAATTCAACTCTATGGAATTTCAATTAGGTGATATGAGATGACTCGTGGATTCCATAAATGTAGGTAACATTGAAACTTCGCATTGTCACATGGAATCCACGGGCAGTGATTTAATAGTCGGGTGGTTTGATTAAGTACATCAACAAGATTTTGATATGACATGGACACCATTATGCACATTACAGATACTAGGTCAAAAATATATTAGATTCTCCAGCTCTTGATGTCTATGTTTTTATATCTAATGGTAATACAACCAGTGGATCATTTTCCTTTGGGTTATCAGAATATAAAGTCCAAGTTTTTGCACGGCAGTCAAATATACCTGAAAATGGAACAAAAAGTTATTAATTGGTTTGATTCAGATGGTCGTCACTTGATGCTTCTTTGGAAAATCCAGTGAATTGAAAAAGTTAAATAACCGTTTTTGGTTTGGTACTTAGACACCGCGATGCATTCATATTCATAACTCAGGAAAAAGTATATGCCAACTATTCTAAAACCCTAATCCTAAATGACAAACACGAATAGAAGATTGAAATAGTGAATAATGGGGATTACTCTGCGCAATGCCAGAAAACAGATTCATTTAGAAGATTTTTTGAATTGACTCGGCCGTTACTTGATGGAAATCCATGGCAAATGTAAAAACTTCATAAACGATAAGATTTCAATAGGATTAGTTACCTGTGGACAGGTTCGATAAACCTCCATTTTGGGAAATTAGGCACAATATCTACATTAAAATACGGTGTACCGGATTAACTTGAAAGGGTTGATATCACACAGGTAACTAATCCTTCAGGTTGGGAAAGTAGGATATATAGGCAAGCCAAGGTTAGTTTAGTTCATCGTACCAGTATATCACCTGACGAAGCTACTGTGTTAGCGAAACATGTCGTGTGTTTGAGAATGTTGTGGAACTCTTATCGTTTGTGAAGTTTTCACATTTAGAAGATATATTCGATATACAAAATTTCTACGTACATGTGAAATGTCAGGCTAAGAAATTTTGTAACTAACTTTACTTCACTGATTTGATACTGCGGAACTAATTCATTATATACATAAAATCGTTTGATTAATGGCGCATTTATGCAACATTTGCATAGTTCTAGTCTTAGTTCTAAGCATAGTCTAAGTATTAATTTTTGTCTTAAAGATTTGAGGTATTTATCCAGAAACATTAAAACTTGATTTAAGCATGAGAGTCATGTGAGAGTTTGTGGTTCTGATTGTAACAGAGATGAGGAAAATTATCTATCAAACTTATCAACATCTGAGCTTTCTCATGATATTATTTTCGGAATATGTAAACAACAAATCATCAACAATTCTATCAAAGGAGCATGCGCATGCTTGTGCTTATGCGTAAGACTAAAATTGGTGTGTAAACGGCCTCATGCAAGTACCTTGTTTCAACTCCTAGTTATGCATGAAATTATGACTGAGACTATGATTAGGACTGTGCAAATGTTGCATACCATTAGATTTATGATACTAAATGGTTTACTGAATGGTTTACTAAAACAACGAACAATCATACATGACAAATGACATTTCTCATTACGATTATTGCTCATCCATTACGAAACCTTGCGGTGTCGCCACGTTCACCGAAAATAATTCATATCCTCTTTTATTTTGTTATGTACCTCACAAGTGGTTATGATATTTATAATTATTCGTCAAGTTATTATTGCATGATGAAACTTTACTGTAAAATCCATAAAACAAGTCGAGGAAATTCTTTCTCAAGGCTCAGTTTGAATGTTTTATTCTAATTTGGATAATATCAATATCTCACCAACTGCAATAGTTTTAACAAAATCTCCAGGGCCGTCTCTGAATACGGGGTAGTCTTTATTGGTATGGTCACCCAGCATATTTATAATATCTTGTTTATTTTTGGGTGAACGATAACTTTTGAATGTTGTCATTCGGCATACACTGCTTCTGGTCATTTCTTCGTTCGTTTCTTCTATTTTCAGCCGAAGGTATCTGAAAAATAATTGATGAGAAAAACGCCGCAAGCTGTATCTTCGATTCAAATGAATTGAAAGACAAAAAGAACAATACTAATCACTTTGAGCCAAATTCCATTTAATTATCTTGAAAATTTTCGGAAAAAAATGTGGGTGTACCATGATCCTGTTGTACTCGGAATATTAATAATATAAAAAAACTGGAATTGACAATAAATTGACGTTAAATAAACAAGTTTTTCTGCAACCGACACAAAAATCATCAATTATAATACCAAAATTAGCTCTCGAATTGACGTGCTAAGAGGTGGAAATAATCGATATTAACTTATAGATGTTTTTCCGAGATGTTAATCGATAAGTTCATGTAGATTCTGCAAATTCAAAAACTATACCTTCTTGATACACTTGTATCTTCTCTTTGAACGAAGATAGTGACGTGAATCAAAAATTATTGTGTTAAGAAGGAATTATACTTCAATCCGAAACATGATGAAGCTGAGTTTAATCACTCACTTCTGCCACAGGACGTTAAGAAGTGAAGCGTGAAATAGTAACTTTTGTTCTTCCCTGTATAATGGTCAAGTCATCAGGTTTTTCTTCGAAAATTGAATTCACGTTAACATTCCGGGTAAAACTGCATTTATCATGCGATGTTGTTTTTTTCAAAAAATGTTTTTGGTACTTACGTATTTTTGTCTGAAAAGCACGAATTTGATAATGAAAATGTGAACAAACCACTATTGTTCATTCTAGAACACGTGATTTTGACATGGTTTCTTGAGGGGCACACAAACTATCTGTTAGGTTACCTCTGATGAGCATAGCCCTGGTCGCGATTTTACTAAATATACTGCACGCTAGCACAAACCACGCCCACCATAATACGTCATATCTCCAAACATTACCGATATACTCGGAGTCAGCACATCGCACTAAATATACTGTGCTCCAACGCAAGAATACACTTTTTATGATTTTGACACGAATTCGACTGAAGCTCTCTCGTTGTCAATCTCTTGTACGCAGTAAATTCATACACCCAAATGGTCTACTGGTTAGCGCTGTCGACTTTCAGTCTGAAGGTCCATGGTTCGAATCGCTGTGAACTTGAACTTTTTTTTTGCAACTTTTTTTTTTCACCAATGTTTTTTCACTTCATTCTGGTTTTCCTTTTTCATAAAATATTTGAAGTCGAATAGGTTAGTGCGTTTAGGATAAACAGTCTCATTTTATTCAATTTTGTTGAAGAACTCAACTTTTGAAATATATTATTAATCAATGTGTTTCTACACTCCATTCGGTTTTCCTTCCTCAAAAATATTGCAATCAGGGATAGGTTAGTTCGTTGAGGATAAATAGTCTCTGAGTTTTGCCTAAGTGAAGTACTTTGAAGATGAGATATAACGGTGGGCGTGGTATGTGCTAGCGTACAGTATATTTAGTAAAATCGCGCCCTGGCCATCCCTGCCACATCCACAATATAATAACAGTTCCACCAAACAAAATTATGTAATTCTCCTGGTTCCAACTCGGATTCCAAGGAAAACGATCCCACTAAATTTGGTTTTATATGACAAATCTTGACAAAATACAATGTTTGTCCCTCAGCAACCCGTCAAATGACGTAATTCTGGAATTATTAATGTGGATAAATCACAAGAAAGTCATTGTGATATTATATAAATGGGCTTATATCACAAAAAAAATTATTTCATAATTAGATAGAACTCACCCAAACTAGCTCACCACCGCAAACCGTTTCTTGCTGTGAGCTCCCTACGTTTTATAAAAAATTATTGAAATCCCCGATTTTTCGGAACTCTGGAAACGAGGCGATGATGTGACGTCAAAACCCTAATACTGAAACAAGACTATTCCAGACAGAAATGAATGATACATGATTTCTCACAGATTGAATTCGCTCGAGATCACAGTTGAAAGAATTGATATATCAGTTGCCTCAGTCTCCGTCGGGCGTTTGGTATTTTCTTTTAACTATGGCGAGATGAGGTTTCTACGTCATAAGAGGGTCCGTTTTCAGAAGGTACTATTATTTATGTCCAAAAATAAAACATTCCAGTTAATTTTTCGATCGAATTATGTCGTCAATCATTATTTATGTATAAAAGGATCATTATAAACATGGTTTGAGTTAAAAGTTATACTAAGGTGTACACGCCCATTGCCCAATGATGAAAAAAGAAGAGCAAATTGTTCTAAATGCGATCCGAAAGACAGGCGGAAAAGAAGGTGTTTGTAACTTAATAGTGAAATATCTTAATAAATAATGGTTTGTTCACATTTTCATTATCAAATTCGTGTTTTTCAGACATAGATGTAACAGAAAAAAAAAACGAAAAAACCATCGCATGATAAATGCAGTTTCACCACATTTCGAAACAGAAATCTACGATTTGGTCGGAATTTCACCAAAATCGGACAAGAAATGAAAAAGTTACACGACGATCAATTTCGCAAAGTTTTCTTGCTGGCTGGTTTTTTGCTGGTGAATATAATATCGTGTAATCATATGTAATCATTGAATTTCCATTGAACCTACTTGTTACAATGCATGGTGTTCTCTCCCGGACTGATCGTCAACACGTTCAACTGGGACTCGTCCGTTTTGTCGGCGGGGCCCATTTCCGCATTGTGGAACATCCGATCGCCTTCCTGATTCAGAAAGGTCATGTTGATGGAGCAGCCGTCCGCCGCTCCGCTGCCGCGGTCCCGCAGGATTTCCGTGGCTCCAGCGAAGTTTTCGGCAGACAGGAGGGCTCTGGTGATGAAGTGTCGAGCTGCAAAAAAGTGTGCACCAGAATTGACACCGATTCTCTGCAATTTATTCACCATCTCCAGCCGATCCCCGAAAAAGAAAACAAAAGCCTGCCCAATAGGCCGCGTGTACAATGACCGACCCTGGAGGTGATACATTGAAACACAACATCACTTTTTTGTGAAACATCAAAACACAACCTCACTTTTCTTTTTTGTTTACAAAGGAATCAAAGGATTGAGATACTTTGTCCCAATATTTTGGCATACAGATCGTGTTTTTTGAGCTATTCATTAATTCCAGCATGCCATCACATTGTGCTGTTGGACACTGGACAAAAAATGCAGCTAGAGAAGAAGGAATATGATTTTTCAGGTAAATAGCAATCTCACATAGTGTTCATCATGAAATTTTGTTATTTCTCCACATTGTGCTGTTGTACACTGGACAAAAAATGCAGCTAGAGAAGAAGGAATATGATTTTTCAGGTAAATAGCAATCTCACATAGTGTTCATCATGAAATTTTGTTATTTCTCATTAGCCAATGGGCTTATATCACAAAAAAAAATTATTTCATAATTCGATAGAAATCACCCAAACTAGCTCACCACCGCAAACCGTTTCTTGCTGTGAGCTCCCTACGTTTTATAAAAAATTATTGAAATCCCCGATTTTTCGGACCTCTGAAAACGAGGCGATGAAGTGACATCAAAACCCTAATACTGAAACAAGACTATTCCAGACAGAGATGAATGATACATGATTTCTGACAGAGTGAATTAGCGCGAGATCACATTTGAAAGAATTGATATATCAGTTGCCTCAGTCTCCGTCGGGCGTTTGGTATTTTCTTTTAACTATGGCGAGATGAGGTTTCTACGTCATAGGAGGGTCCCTTTTCAGAAGGTACTATTATTTATGCCCAATAATAAAATATTCCAGTTAATTTTTCGATCAAATTATGTCGTCAATCATTATTTATGTATAAAAGGATCATTATAAACATGGTTTGAGTTAAAAGTTCTACTAAGGTGTACACGCCCATTCTGCAATAGAAGCTAATGCTGCTAATAGATTGAAAATGTCTACAACACACACGATCATATTTCGTCAGCATGTCAGACCAGTCCTCCCGTTTGATTGCATGAATCCAATCTTCTCGCTTTCTTTTGGAAACTTCACGAGTATTTTCTATTGCTCCTATTGCAGAAGGAATTCCAATGAGAAATGACAAAATTTCAAAATGAAAACTATATGTGAGTAGGTGTAGTACTTTTAGATCACAATCGGATTCCTTCGTCTCTAGCTGCATTTTGTGTGCATTGTACAACAGCAATGTGATGGCATGCTTTAATTAATAAATAGCCGAAAAACACGATTTGTATGCCAAAATAATTGCGAAAAACTATTTCAATTTTTTGTAAACATAAAAAAGTGAGGTTGAGTTTCAATAGTTTACCTCCAGGGTCGGTCATCTGACAGATGTTGCGCGCAACCCATAACTATAGGCGAATTGTCGTGTTATCAGTCATCTCCAACATGATGGGGAAAGCCATCAACATTGAGCCCATCAAATATCTGGAAAGCTCAGAAATCATAAATGATAGACAATCTTTATAGCTTTCGCCACCAAATATCAATTGGAGCTTCATTGCCTACGTCATCAATATAAGGCTAGCTTCATTAGAAAATCATGGGGAATCTCTAGCTATTCGCGATAGAAAATAACACGTCGCCCTACCTGTCGGTAACAACTTGAACACTTCTGAGCGGTTTGTTTTGATGATATGACCAATATCCATTGACAAAAAACAAATGTGAACCAATCAAAACAAAGTTAACTGGCCGCTTTGACAGCTTTCAACAACTCCGATAGGTGGCGTAAGCTAATTTTCTATCGCGAATGGCGTTAGATATATCGAAGGCATTCGACCGTGTTTGGCACCAAGGACTCCTTCCTAACCTTCATTTTCGGAAATTAGGCACAATATCTACATTAAAATACGATGTACCGGATTAACTTGAAAGGGTTGATAGCGAATACATATTATCACCTACTAAGAAAATATATTCAACAGTGGTGAACTATTGAGGTCTAATTGATCGTTAAGTAAAATGTCAAAATTTTTTAGTTTGTTAATTTCTAATGATGCAACATGATTGAGTTTGTTAATTTCTAATGATTCAAAATGATTGGGTTTCATTCCTTTATTTTCTACGTGTAGAATTTCGAAATTATCATCAAAACTATGGTTTTCTTCTATTATATGGTTGGCGTATGTTAAATTTGTTTTATTTTTCAAAAAATTCATCTTGTTTATGAATGCGCTGATTAAACGTGAAATTGAACAAAAAACGGAAAAAAATCAAGTACGCCCCAATTTAAATGATTGAACTCCGCTTGATTGTGCCTTCCCCATGGAAATTTGAACAGAGGTGACGTCAGAGTTGCTACAGTGTAGAACTTTGGGTGGAAAAAGGGGTCTCAAATTCATACAAGTAATTTTTGTCAAGAACTATTCCTTTCTTGAATTTTTTAATTCATATCTTCAGGTACAGGGTGATTCACCATAAATGTCCCCCCCTCTAGCTCAGTTATTTTTAAACCGATTTCAAAATTTAAAATATCATCTTGAATGATTTTCGATAAAGTTTTTTTCCGCTACATCAGAAAATACAGGGTGCTCAGAACCATCGATCTACAGGGTACTATATGCTTTTTTTATATGGAACACCCTATTTTTCATTGTATTTTTAGATTCTCCCTGAAGAGCTGATTTGGTCAATGTATCACATAGGGTGTTCAAAATCCAGATTTTTCAACTCTAGGATTTTTTTGAGACGAAACTATTCATCATCGGTCAAAACTGCTTCCATGTCCATATCTTAACTTCTGATTTAATATCTACTGACATTTAATAATTGGAACAGATACAGGGTGATCAGAATTCTGAATCTTGAACCACCCTGTGAATGTTCCAATTAAATGTCAGTAGACAGTGAATCAAAAGTTAAGATGGAAACATGGAAGCCGTTTCAACCAATAATGAATAGTTTCGAGACAAAAAAATCCTAAACTTGAAAAATCTCGATTTTGAACACCCTATATCTCTGTATTCATTCCCGCTAGAGCCCAAGTGTGATGAATTGATGAAATCAGCTCTTCAGGAAGAATCTAAAAATACAATGGAATACAAGGTGTTCCATTTGAAAAAATCAAGTAGTACTCTGTAGATCATTTGTTCCGAGCACCCTGTATTTTCTGATGCAACGGGAAAAAAATTCTGAAAAATCATTTCAGATTATTTTTCGAATTTTCAAATCGGTTCAAAAATAAGTGAGCTAGAGGGGGGGACATTTATGGTGAATCACCCTGTACACTGTTTCATTTTTGATAGAGAATTGAAAACAAATCTGAAAAATCATTTCAGATTATTTTTCGAATTTACAAATCGGTTCAAAAATAAGTGAGCTAGAGGGGGGGACATTTATGGTGAATCACCCTGTACACTGTTTCATTTTTGATAGAGAATTGAACTTGGTATCAATTTACCATTATAATAGTCTATCTGCAAGTTTTGACCATCATCCGATAACGAAATGACATAATTTATGACCTAGTCATGTAGAAACTTTGTATTTTATTGAACCTGTGCCAATCACTATCTTGAGCAAAATTAGTAAAAAATGACACTTTCCTGTGCATTAATTTGTCAAAATTTCGTGATTTCATAACGAAATAAGAATAATTATGTGCCACCTCTAGGTTAAATCCTCGGCACAAATTTTTTTGCTGCCGTCACTCTGGACATAATTCCGTCACATGATATAACGAGTTGAAACAAAATACAAACCGATTCAAACTGATCAAAGTTAGTGGCAGAGCGTCAATATTTTCGATAATATTTCGCCCTAGTCGAAAGATTATATCCGATGGACCATTGGTTCAATTTTCTGGTCTTCCGTAATTATTGAGATAGGCAGGAGTAGCATGAGTGAGTAAAATACCGAGTACTCTAATCGAAATAAGGATACTTATCAAATTTACCACCGATTCCCATTAAAACGTGCAGTTCTGAGAAGTTTAATTTTGTCTCATTTCTGTTTTTCTCCTGCATATTTCAAAATTATTAATGAATTTTCATTGAGTTATAATAATTACATAATAACATTCATAAACGGGCAGAGTAGTTTATAGATATATTGAAGGATTTAAATTATTCTGAACTAACCACAAATTATTGCACTAAAAGAACTTGTCTATATAAAATTACCAATCCTTTCTGTATTAATTGATATAATAAAATAATAAGGTTGGTTTGCATAATTAGCCAATCTAGGAAACAAACGAAAAAATAACGAATAACTGCCAATCTAATCAAGATTATCTTTAGCTATCGATTATTGACATGTAGGTATTTCATTTATTTTTTCCATTTGTTTTCTAATACTACCTTGATCTCGAGTTGCTGCACGCAAGTTGCACCATATTCCATTAGTTTCAACCTTCTGAAAATCTTTTATAAGGTTTCAATTATCAGGATACTACATTTTTCCAATATTTTCACGCACGCATAATAAGACGGCTAAGGTGATTCAAATTACTATTTTTTTTGCTTCAATAACTATTTTAAAATGGGGAGAGGCTCGTTATCTGTAAATAACTATCTGTACAGAAATAATCAAGAAGGTTCCTGAGTATTCAAAATCATTGTCATTGGGAGAATGTAGAACGTACATGAAAAAGTCAAATTAATTACACAGGGTGTCTTGAAATTGCCGACGAAACTTTTCGTCTTTCTCTTCTTTATTTCCTAAGGGAATAATATTTTGCATTATCTGCAAAAACCTCAAGTAATATTACTTATAAGGAATACATTTATATTCATGAATAATGTATTTTAATGAATCATAATCATGAGTATTCTCTTGAATTGTGCCAAGGTATTCCATTTAAATTATTCTCATTATTCCTTAAATCGCCTAAAACATGTCAAAAGAATAATCTCCGAAAATGGAAAACTTAATATTCTGAGATTTTGTTTCAAAATTATCAATTGAGTCGGTTGATTATCTTATCGGCCGATTCTGGGCGTGGTCTTCGTATATGTTCAGAAAGTGTGAGTCCAATAAAAAGACTGAACACTTGAGAGGGTTTTTAATTTTCATTTTCCTCGAAAAAACGGCAATTTTTCATAAACGCCATTATTCGTATTCAACCCTATCCCAACTGGCTAACACCAGCCGACTCCACACTGTGTGGACGATCGTAATACAGGGTGTTCCTTTAAGACAATAATATTCAAGGGGGGTGATTCTTCAACGCATTTCTCAAGTCTCAACTTACTTCATATGACCTCGCATGAAAGAATTTACAAAAGAGGTTATATTTGTATATGGGGGATCCAAATAATTTCAATATCATAATACTTGAGGTAAGAATCTTTTTCAGAAAGTTTCGTTTTTCCTCAATCTAATTTGATTTTTTGACACCTGTCAACAGTCATTCCACATCATTCCTTGTAGTGAGACGGAATCCAAAGTAGCAACCGGAATCGGAAAAGTTGCAAATAAAACGACACATTAAACTGATTCCGGTGGCGGAATCGGATAAATAAAACGCAACTATTTTGTTTCATTCAACAACAGGACTCAACATCTTCTTGATAACTTGATTATGATTGGTGGCTCGACAACCTTGCTTCATGAGTGGAAATGGAAGATTATCTGACCAATAACGAAACTGCATAAAAACTGACGTCACCATCTATCCGACGTATCGCCAAATGGCGGCCATTACGTTACGTTTGGAATAAGCTCTGGAATTCAACGATCTTGAACAACGCATAGACTTATTATTTACATAAAAAAGCGTGAACAGTGTTGCAAACATTGATTCAGGTTCCTATACAGTGTGTCCCACTTACCATGCTCACCATGGGTATCTTTTTAACGGTGAGAGATACGAGGTCGGTTAAATGACACCAAATGTGGAGTTTGTCAAGGCCAACTATAATGTGAAAAAATATTTTGATAAAATCTATTCGTTTTTGTTTTATACGCAAAAAACAGATTTTGATCATTTTCATGTCTCCTCCGTAACTTCTTTATTTATGAAAATATTCAAATAAGAATTTCACATTCTCATGGCAGTTTTCCAAAGTGATTTCGAAAAAAATATGAAATTTATACCAACTCTTCTAGAATTTGAGATATCAGCACCAACTTTAGTTTTTCAAATGTAGGTCATAGCTCACTATGACTTAGTTACAAATAACTTTTTTTCTCTTACAGATGATATGTCGCAGTAATAGTTTTGTGTTGATAACAACGGAGTTATCGTCATTTATATAAAAACCTAAAATTATTTGGAAGCCGCCATCTTGAATTTATAAATTTTAACAAGAAAATCATGATCTCCGACCTCAAAAACCCCCACTCACTAATTTTGAATGGAATCGGACCAAATCTTGTCCGCCATCTTGGAGCAGCCATTTTTTTTTTAATTTCAACAAAAATTCCATAAGGTATTGTCACCGGATTCACGAACATCTGCCAAATTTCAAGTTGATAGGACGGCCAGAAGTGAGTCAAAATTCACTTGCAACATTTGATTTAAAAAAATGACTGGCTGCTCCAAGATGGCGGACAAGACCCACTAAACATGATACATAACAAAAATATTTTTCAGTTATAAGTTTTGTGATATTGTTGGAATAACATTGCGATAATGTCCTTCTGAAGTATCCAACACAATATTATGAAGTAAAACGTTTATGAGACATCGCATCAATATTGACATCGATATCATTAGATAATATTGTGATATATTGATTTTAGGTTTATCAGATATATCTCAGACAGAGTTTGTATGTTATTTGTGCAACGTTTTCGTTTCACCACCTTATAACGTAGCTTACATGCATACAGGATACAAGGAGATGATATTTGTTCTTTTACGGCAAAGTAACCTTGTCAACTGTCAAAAGTCAATTCAATTCCATTCCAGCCATTTTGTTTGTTGTCTATTATGGTGAACAAGCCAAATAGTGTGATCAGTGAAAATATTGATTTTTAGGTATTATTCGTATAGTTATCAAAGTAAGTGAAGAACTAAACAAGTCTTGGACTCAAATTCGAAACAACAATGAATTGCTCATGATAACTACCTACTTATATTCCAGGTTTGCTCTGCTGGAATATAGAAATGCAACCAATCTGTATCTGCATTTCATAATATGTGAAAAAGTAGGAGGGATTCGTGAATACGGATTGTGTTCATATTTCACGAATTACAAAAATAATGGGTGAGATATATCATAGCTAGAAGAAGAACATAGAATAGAATTTCAAAATAATTTAGAAAACCCCAAACAACTCCTATAGAAATATATTTACCTATTACTTTTCAGAATTTCAGTAAGGGATCACTGGATTATGCAGAAATCACATATAGCTGGACTGACTAGATTTATGAGGCAGAATAACTGAAATGATACTTAGGAAAATAGTAGTCAATCTGTCTCAAAATATCACTGGGTAACTATAGATCATACGTATAGTTTTTCAGGAGTTCGGTTAGATCAATTCATATTTAGGGATAGTTCATCTTCTCTGATGTCTTTTCTGAAGATCATTCAGATGATTTTCTTGATGATTCCAGACAAAATAGACATAACCTAAAAACTCCTAGAAACTAATTAGAATGTTAATTTACAATATTGTTTAGATGTTTTGAGTAACATTAAATATACGTTATGAAGTAACATTGATTTTATGTGATTCCTGATATATTTATATAATATTTACCATCAACATTACATTGCAATATTTATACGAGGCACATACGTCGATTGCCGCAACGTAACTGTGATATCAAGCATATCTCTAAATAACATCACAAAGTCACATTGTAATATTACATTTATGTTTGAGTTATGTTATTATGTTTAGTGGGGATTTTGTCCGATTCCATTCAAAATTGGTAAGTGGGGGTTTTTGCGATCGGAGTGGGGGTTTTTGTGATCGGAGATCATGATTTTATTGTTAAAATTTATAAATTCAAGATGGCGGCTTCCAAATAATTTTTTGTTTTTATATAAATGACGATAACTCCGTTGTTATCAACACAAAACTATTACTGCGACATATCATCTATAAGAGAAAAAAAAGTTATTTGTAACTAAGTCATAGTGAGCTATGACCTTCATTTGAAAAACTAAAGTTGGTGCTGATATCTCAAATTCTAGATGAGTTGGTATAAATTTCATATTTTTTTCGAAATCACTTTGGAAAACTGCCATGAGAATGTGAAATTCTAATTTGAATATTTTCATAAATAAAGAAGTTACGGAGGAGACATGAAAATGATCAAAATCTGTTTTTTTGCGTATAAAACAAAAACGAATAGATTTTATCAAAATATTTTTTCACATTATAGTTGGCCTTGACAAACTCCACATTTGGTGTCATTTAACCGACCTCGTATCTCTCACCGTTAAAAAGATACCCATGGTGAGCATGGTAAGTGGGACACACTGTATAATGACACAGTGGAGTAATTGAATGCCAATAATCTATTATCAGTTCACTCGCCCATTCTCTTAACTGTGTCTCCACCAAAGCTATAGATAGGATTCTTACGTGTTTTTCCTGGTTTTAAGTATTTAGCACTCAGCGTATTTATGGAAAACACCAATCCGTGGTGGTTGTAGCTCATCGTGTATCCTGGCAGGTGTCCTGCATAGCAAAGGGAGGTGAATTTTTCTTCCCTCACTTTCCATTTTCCTTGAGGTTTGTCGGATATTATGTGAGCGGAAACGAAGTAGAAGTGGTTCAGGGTGTCGTCCAGAGCGTCTTCGGTGTGACCGAGAAGTTGCTATAGAAATAGGAAAATGCATTTAGTATAAGTCTACTCACTCACCATACTGCGATGCCAAACAAATTTTTATTATGTAGAAATAAGTTTTTTATAGAAACATTATTTAAATCCACAATGTACAGGGTGATTTACGTAGGCCAAACATCAGAAGTTTTCCAAGATACAGTTGGATTAAAAACTTCGGCACCAACTCATTTTAAGTACCGACCTAATTTTTTTTTCACACGGTGCAATTGGCCTTCTAATTCTGATTTTAGATAACGTGAAATCTATCACAGCTTTGGAGATATGTCGATTTTTCTGAAAATAATTACTTCGAAAACATTTGTATCTCCCAAACCGTTCAAAATTAGAGCATCAATGTTGTGGAGTAGTTAGTCGTATTTATTAATCCAGTTGTTTTGGGATTTCCTCTTCTCGTTTCTATAAAATAAAAATATGAGCAGGTATTATTTCAATATACGTGTTGTGGGGACAAACCAGATGGTTTGCCCTGAAATGTCACTGAATTTTCCTATCAGAGAGCCTAAAGTAAAATGCATTCTTGCTTGCTTGTCAGTGACACTTTGTTTTGGAGAAGAAAAAAATATCTTTCGACGTTTCGGGAACGAATCTGCTCCCGTTTTGAAAATTTGATATTTGTTTTACTTATATACTTATATCTCTTTTCTCTAAACCTTTTTCAACACAAAGTGTTACTGACAAGCGAATAATTTTTTCTTCTAGACCCTCTGATAGAAACATTTTCAAACGCAGTGACATTTAGGGACAAACCATCTGGTTTGTCCTCACTACACGTATATTGAAATAATATTCATATTTTTATTTCATATTAACAAGGAGAGAAAATTATAAAAAAATCTGGAATAATGAATATTGCCGAAAACTCAACATTTCCAAATGACTAGCGTTTTTTTGACACCATATGAACAAAAATTGAATTCGATGATCTTGATCTTGAATTTACCATTTTCATATTCAGATTTTAGGAGTGAATACCATGAATTGTTCTATCTTTATCAACAGAAAAGGAAGATATATTATCCCTGTTAATTCAGAAGAATGCAAGCGGATTCTTCGATTTTTCTCCTTCGATAGAAACAGTATTTCGGTTTATAGGTATCTAAAAAAAATTTGTTCTAAAATTTGTTCTATCCGTCATTCGGTTGCCCCCTTACGAGCAACCCTCAAAAGTCTTCAAAAGTCTTGTGCGAGCAAGGAATGACGGGGTAACCATGCATGCACTTGTTTTTCTAGAACTTCTTGTAATTCTATTATAGCTAATCGCCTTAGCTGGGTACTATATTGATCCGTTGTTATATAATACGAATGACCTAATAATGTGATATAATTTTACACGCAATTGTAAATTGAAAATCATATTGATTGAAATTCATACTGAAATACTCGGTTGTAGGTACGCCACAAATCTATTCTATATTGTTTAATTAAATCACTCTACGTTTGTATAATCATGACAAATATTTTTTTTCAATGATGAAAATTGATAGTTTCCAGAGTGTGTTTCATCTATGCCAAGACCAAGAGTGAGATATTTTTCAACAATCAATTAGATCTGAGATCAAGTGTTCACCCTTCTACCATTGGAGGTGTATAGAGATATACACAAGAAACCACATAGTCCAATAAATGAAGGAGGAAAAAAGGCAAAGTTAACGTTAATTACGCACTATTTTCATCTTCCGGTTGGAAGTAGCTTTTGTTAACTCATTAAACATGAGACAAAGTTTGACTGGAAAACGCGTGCGATGGCGGAGAAAATGGCCCCAAAAGACCAGGAAAATAGGTTTTCAGCCAATATCTCCTAAAATATGGCAGTTAGAGATTTTCGGTTCGGATAAAAATTGAAGTTCAGTTAATTTTCTACAAAAATGATCCTTATCATTTTTCTCGAAAATTTGATCGGTTTCGAGAAAAACGGCACGAAGCGCACCTCGAATAATGAGCTTTTGTGTTGTATGCCGGAGAGCACAGTCCGTGTATTTACACATCGGCGGGGGGACAAATTATTCAATAACTTTGTTAAAAATGCATATTTTCTCATGATTCAAAGTTCATGTGAAAGAGGAATTCTGCTGCTATCATACCCTGCGTGGCCGCATGGTTTGTAGCAGACGACCCGAGCGCCACGTAGAGCAAGCACACACGCGGCGAACGACGGAGGAACGAAAGTAATAAATTATAGCGTGTTATAGATATACTGTTTTTTTCCTGGGATATCAAAGGTATGACTTATATACATCGATGGAAAGGTGGGATTTCCCCCGTTACACTAGTAAAGGTGTTAAAATGTTAAAAATTAAGAGCACGGAGAAAAAAACCACCGAAAAAAAAGTGCGTTTTTTCCTTGACCCCGCTTTTTCTAATTTTATTGAAAAATGGACGACTTCGTCTAAAAAAGTAATTGCACAATCGAAAAGTAGACCTTCTTAGCTTTCAAATGATGTATCATAGAAACCAATCGGATCATGTATGAATTTTTAATTGATGGTTGTTCACAAAATTTCCCCGCGCTCCAAAAACGGCAAAAAATTGGGATTCAATAAACAAAGATTAAATGAAAATTAAAGAAAATTAGGGTATACAAATTTCAGGGATGACAAAGGACCTTATGAGGACCCATAATCAAGAGAATTTTGAGTAAATTAGTGCAATACAAAAAATAGGAACAAATTCCTGGCGAGGTCAAAATTGACCGGGAGCAGAAAGTTTGACCCATGTTCCGATATGGCCAAAAAGTCAAGCGTAACTCAATTCACAGGGTATGATAGCAGCAGAATTCCTCTTTCACATGAACTTTGAATCATGAGAAAATATGCATTTTCAACAAAGTTATTGAATAATTTGTCCCCCCGCCGATGTGTAAATACACGGACTGTGCTCTCCGGCATACAACAGAAGCTCATTATTCGAGGTGCGCTTCGTGCCGTTTTTCTCGAAACCGGGCAAATTTTCGAGAAAAATTATGAGGATCATTTTTGTAGAAAATTATTTGAACTTCAATTTTTATCTGAACAGAAAATCTCTGACTGCCATATTTTAGGAGATATTGGCTGAAAACCTATTTTTCTGGTCTTTTGGGGCCATTTTCTCCGCCATCGCACGCGTTTTCCAGTCAAACTTTGTCTCAAGTTTAATGAGGTACCAAAAGCTACTTCCAACCGGAAGATGAAAATAGTGCGTAATTAATGTTAACTTTTTCCCTTTATTTATTGGACTATATAACAGCGGATATAGGCACTGGGTATATGCAAATTCAAAAACATCGTATCCAATTAAGTCGTCGTCATATGGCAAACTTTTATTATTTGTTTTATGAGAAAAAGTTCATCCTGATGAAATGTTCTGCATGGCCAAAAACGGAATATGAAATAATCAGATATCAATATTTTGGATTTGTTCACGAGGTTTGGAGAAAAATGTAGATTTTTCTTAGGAGTAAAGTAACTTCTTTTACAATATAACAATCCTCATAAGGTGAACTTTATTCTAATTGAAAACTATGGTCAGATATACAGTGTGTGCGATTTCAACCCGCAACACCCTCCTAATTTGAAACAGAAACAAAAATTCCATAATATAGTACTCAACGAGCTCTATTCGAAAATGCTATGGTTCGTTGAAGGGGTCAAAATTTCGAAAATGACTCATATTCATAAATATATCTGAGAATATTCCTTTTCAATGGAACATTTTGTTTTTCTAGTGCATCATAGATTAAATGTTGACGTGTATTCAAATTGATAATACACTGAATTTGTCAGTGCATCCTAGTAAATCTGTAATTTCATAGTAGATGAATATTGGATATATGTACAGTGTGTGGTGCGATGTTAACCAGCAACGCCTCCCTAATTTGGGAACACTTTGGAACCCGTCGACCGATTTTCAAAAACAAAAATTCATCGAGCTCTATTCGAGAATGTAGACAAATCTTGAATATTCGGATTTTGAAGGCCTACTTTTGTTTGTTGAAGGGGTCAACATTTCAAAAACGACCATTAGGCACTTTTTTTTCGAAACATTGACTTGGCTATTCGATATACCATAATTCAAAATTTGAACGCAATATCTCATATAAGGTCTTGGATATTCGATGGCAAATTTCAACGATTGCACGATACGCAAAATCGAATTATAATTCATTTACACACATAAATTATTAAAGATCATTTTTTGATGGTAGATAAATGATATTGAATTTCTAATGAGAATCAACTTTTCCTTATAAAGATTGTTGATACTATACAAAATTAAGGTAGGTACTTTCCTCTTGAACGAAATTTACATTTTTTAAAGTGATATCTGATTATTCAATTTTGCGTCTAGAGCCTAGGCAATGCATGCAAAACTTTTAATCGAGAATAATTTTGTTTTTCATAAGACAAATGACTACCTAAAATGAAAGTTCTCCATATGGTGTCGACTTGATTGAAAACACTGTATATTGTAGTTCTAGTAAATCTTGCAATAAAATTCTGTGTTTTTGACTTCTCCCTCAGTAAACGCCGCATATCACAATTACAATGGGACTCAAATTCTGCCCTTTCACAATTGCATTAGTGTGAAAGAAAAAAAATATATTTCGAGTAATGTATACGATGAGATTACCTGGTCATTCTGGTTGACACAGATTGAAGAACATCCAACTGGTTGGGGATGTATCACTTCTTTTTTCACAGCACTCAGGATTATGTTGTCCATATGCAATAAAAAAAGCTGTAACAGAAATTGAGTAAGCATTTATTTCAATTTTGATAAAATATGGATAACATAAACAAAAAAAATGTTGATTAAATCATCACCACTTCGAGAAATACAGTTCAAATATGGAACAGTATTCCAATCAACAGACCAACGAATAAATCATGTACTTAGTTCTCGATTTTTTATTTGGGCAGGGAAAAGTGCCCTGTACAACACTACAGTAAAGTCCGTGATGACATTTCATGCAAAAATATCGAAATGTGTGAGAGAATTGTCGTTCTAGATGCTAGATGACAACCTAGTTAGGTAGTTAGTAGGCATCAAGAGCTATTGTACCTCCTCGCGTACTAGGTCGCCTACTAGGTTTTCATTCAGATCGACAATGGTGAGGTCAAATAAAAAGTAAAGTGAAGGCATATGATCGAGTAAAGAATAGTCATTTATTATAAGGCAAAAAAGTTGTAGATTGTAGCTCCAGGTTGTGCTGTCTCCTGACGCGATGGATAAAAAAGCCGTGAGCTAAAATCTAATATTTTTCCTGTGTATAATATACAATTCTTTTCTGTGACAGGAAAAAGGACGAATCACTATTGAGAAGATATTACATTATATTAAAATCAGAAAATTATCGATGTGAAATTTGAAGTTTTTAACAGGAATGACACCTGTGTTGCAGGCATCTTTATCATTCTTTTGGAGTAATCAAATATCTGTCAGTCTAATTCTGTGATTTGATTTTCAAAAATTGCGAATTTACTGGTTGTTTAGTAATTTACGTAACCGCGAAGTCGAATGGAAGATGAAAGGACTTGCAGTTCTTTCTCGGAGACGGTGTTATTGGCTTATTTTTCGGGACTGCACAACAAAACCCATCAACAGTGACAACAATGTATTTATGTATAAATATATATTCGGGAAAAGTGTAATCGCTTTTTTCCCGTTGGAAAAAAGTAATTTATGAACTGTGTCATCTTATAACCGGTCCAAAGAGATGAAATGTCAAACTCCTTTCCCGTCAGAATAGTAGTTATTTTTGGATCTAGAATGCGAAATGATACTTTTACAGCGAGGTAAAATAACCATTCGATGATATCGCATTCGAAATGCTTTTGGATTATTATAATCGAAAAATATCGAAAAATGAAATAAAAAATCCAGGTCCGTATTTAAAAAAATGAAGTTGATGATGGCCGCTCGAAGAAGAAACGTCGGATTTCCAATTTGACAATTCCATTTTGTAGAGGAGGAAAAGTGGCAATGATGAAGTGACATTCATTTTGAAATACCTATCTCTTCAAATAAACTGAGCAATAAATGAAAATTATTTTGCATATTTTCCTTCTTTTTCAGATATCTCCGGAAATAATTGAAAATTTTTCAATTTCGAAGCATCATTTTGTTATGGATGAAATGGTGTAACTTTGCCCTAATTCAGCCTACTATGTATCTCTTAAGGTTACCGAGATCCCCATAGCCACGAATTTATAACAGCCTGTATAGTGTATATCCATTGACAATTTAACCAACAACCGACCACAACATGGATAAGTGGTATTGGTAGAAAATTTCAACCGAAAATGACACGAATATGTTACCGGAGAAACCAAATATTAGGATAAACTAGTTTTTCCTAGGCTAAATCAGTATATTCGAAGAGCGATACGATGACTGGTACTGGTACTGGTACTGGTGGGGGACGTTTCCACGTCAGCAACTAGTCCCCAATGGGACCTTTTTGCCAACCCCAAGTGTTTTCAATGACTGATGTGGTTCGCTCAAGAGAGCTGGCTAACATCGTTTTCAGGCACCGCCCATCAGCTCTCTTTTCAGAGTTTTTCAGCTGTGTTTTGTAGGCTAGTAATGTACTCACTACCATATGCGCAGTGGCAGGCCTGCTAACTATCATCGTTAACCCCCGAGACCGAGGTCTACTTAAGCAGCTGGCCCGCTCTCACGCTCAGCTGGTAGTTTTCCGCACCCACCTACATACACGTAGGCTAGTAATGTACTCACTACCATATGCGTAGTGGCAGGCCTGCTAACTATCATCGTTAACCCCCGAGACCGAGGTCTACTTAAGCAGCTGGCCCGCTCTCACGCTCAGCTGGTAGCTTTCCACACCCACCTACATACACCGTCCTACTTCTTCTCTGATGCTCACAACCACATCGTCATATCTTTCTGCGTGTTCTGTGTAGGCTTTGTTACTAACTCCATGCGCCACTTTAGGAGCAGCACTGTTAATTGGAACGCAACAGCGAATCGTGCAGGACTATCCCCAGCCGATGCTCCGAAACTTTACAATATTAGGATGAACTCGATTGTTAATATTTTGTGAGAAAGGAACATGCACCTCTATGAGTAGATCATTCGGGAACGTAGTCATTGAATTTTTTATCAATCAGCTTGACTTGTTTACGAATGATCTACTCGTATGTCCCTTCCCATGCATTCCCTTCCTCACAAAATATTAACAAAGTAGTACGAAGTAGTTTAGACTAGGACAAACTAGTTCATCCTATCGCTCTTCGGATATACTGATTTAGCCTAGGAAAAACTAGTTTATCCTAATATCGGGTTTGTCCGGTAACAAATATAACCAAAATTGAGTCAGGAATAAGGTTTCTACTAGATTGTTCGACACGATGGTTGCGATTTGGTATTTGGTTTCATGTTTCATTAGCTAATATAGAGTTCAAGCGTATGCTCCCACAAGTGCAACAATTTTTCTTTACATTTCCTGTGTGTGAACTATAACCCAGATAATTGCTGGCCGAAAATCTCTATAAGTACCTACCTTATGAAAAGGGACATTCGAGCCATCAGCAGTCCCTTCCAATTCTCTGACGTATTGCGGGAAATTCTTCTTCAGATTATCAAGGGTATCTTCGTAAGCCCTTCTGCCTTCGACTGTCTCATAAGCAGGCAAGAAGTCTTCGTTGAGGGACTTGCTCCTGTTGACGAAGCTGCGGATAATGTTGGCGAAAGTTCGGCCCTGCAAAAATTACATCGTTACTCAGAATATTATTATGGTTAATAAGAAATGTGATAACCGTCTGAGGCGATCCATCTTACAGTGGAATGAAGACGGGAAGAAAATCTTACAGTCAACTCCACCAACACTTCAGCTTCAAAGCTTCATCATCAGTGAATTAATTACATCCCAGCGAGCACAAACATCATCCCTGGGATGTTTTGAAAATGTCGGCATGAAGATGTTATTTTGAGACTGACCAAAGAGGTCTTTAAAGGATATTGAAGTATTGTTTTTGTTCTTCTGTGGTATTTCTTTGTTTGCCTACTGAGAGGTATCCCTGGGATGTTTTGGGATGATTTAGAAATGTAGGCATGAGGATGTTTTTTTGAGGCGTAATATGCACTTTCCAAAGAGGTCTTAGATGGATATTGAAAGTATTGTTTTTGTTCTTTTGTGCCCTTTCTTTGTTTGCCCCACCACAACGTCTCATGCTTACGTCACAATACGATGAATTCTGATTTGTTTTCGATTTTGTTCTTCTTGTTCGCAAATGGCATTCGCGTTTGCAGCGTGTCACGCTTACATCACACTGCTAACGAACAGAAAGGAATTTGGTGATGTTTATTGTGTTAGAAGACTTATTTAGTTTGTAATAATGACCATCAGATGCAAGATGTGTTGTTCGGTGCCTCAGTGTAATCAATATATAAAAGTACGAATTCATCAATACACAGCTTCTCCGCAGTTGCAAAATTATGCATTGTGGAGAACATTTCAAAAATTGGGGAACCTATTTCCAATTATATGTCTGTGTGTAGTAAGCACTACTCAGAAACCGATTAAGAAGGTAATTTCATATCAAGAAAATATTTTTATGTGCAATCTATTTTAATGCATTTTTTCATTCAAGGGAAATGGAATCCTAATGCAAAAGTTCATTTTGACAAAAGGCTTCAGAAAAGTACATCAAAAATAGTTTTTTTACAGCGATTTAATGTGCACAAGACGCGTTGAAAATGTTCTGTTGTGTCCATGAAAAGGCTTTCAAAAGAACTAGGGAGAAGGTAGTTTTGTGACATATCAAGCACATCTCGATAATTGCCGCCTGGGGCGGACATTGACTGTTCTATAATAGTTCTATTCATGTGTGAACAGAACATCGCAGTGGAGGTTCAATGTCTCGAAATCTCGTACTTTTAACATCTCTGAGATGTTTTTGTGCTCGCTGGGATAGTAGCTAGTAGCACTGTTCTGGGGAAAACTAATTCTTCCCATGTTGCAAAAATTGGATAGTTAAAAATACCAGATAATTGAAATGAAAACAAAGAGGAAACCGCAATGAAATGCGGATCACTTGTGTCAAGGAACATGGTTGGTTTTTAATTCATCATTTGGAATAATTTCATCAGGAAATCATGGGTCTAGATCGAAAAATAAGGCAATCCGATAAAAGGTAATCCGATTTGTTCTCCGCATTCTGGGTTCTCTATTACCACCATGGGGGACTATACTTTTGGAATCATCAATCTTTGGAAATCATGGCTCTAGATCGAAAAATAAAACGAGTGTTCTGACAAATTGAATATCATGTAACTTCAAAATATCATTATAGATTCAGATAATTACGAAGATTTCAATAATATGATATGAGAATCGAAAATTGATGCCATTTCTGGAAAAAACGGAAGTTGATTTTTTCCTCATAATTTCAGAAGTATGAGTAGAAAAGCGAAGGTGGAAAAGGAGGTGTACCCTCAGAGTGTATCACACGGTAGGTATATATATTATTTACCAATAAGGGGTCGTTGAGATAACTAACCTTTCTTCCAAGTCTATAACTAGCAGATTTCATCAATGTGAAAAGAAAATAGTGAAATGATTTTTCTCAAAAATTGTAATGAAGAAGTGAACCACTCAAAAATATAAAAGACAAGTAATAACCATTGAGAAACAGATTCCCCAAAATGTAATATAGAATGGATTACCTGCGCTATTCAACATTTCATCGTAATGTTCAGTATTTATAAATTTTGATAAATAAAATGGGAGAACTTTGGAATATTTTCTATTTTATTGTATGAGAGTAAATATATATATGTATATATGAGAGTACTTCACTTGATAAGCTACTACGTTAGTGAAATATGTTGTGCTTTCAAGAATTCCATGCAAATCTTATCGTCGTTTCTTACATTTATTACATGCCTAAGAAAATAGTTATTCAAGGAATTCCTCTAATGTAAAGTAGTATATATTTTTAACCTAGGTAAGTAATAATGATATTTAAAGAATACCTAGGTGACAAATGATTATACTATGCACTATATCGTTTATAATAATTTTAATAAAGTATGGATCTCACGATCGAGCTGTGATATGCTAATCAGAGTGGTCATCGAGTGAGAGAATACAAAAAAAAGTTGAATTTCGTTATATAGTTTGTTCGACAAACGGTATTTTATATATCGGAATTATAGATATAGAAGTGAACACGGTAAATGATTGTGCTTCCTTCGGTGGACTTGAAAATATGGATTGATGAAATAAACTGATAGAAAGGATATTTTCAAACGCAAGCTTTATCACATTTTTTGTATAATAATCTTTATAAAGGTTCCTATGAGAGATTATGATGCTTTTGTCAAAATTTGAAAATTTATGATGGCGGATCCAATAAGGCGGACGACTTTTGTAATTATAATCCGTTTATATTCAAAATTGGTATCTGGGGGTTTTTGGGGTCGAAGATTATGATTCTTTTTTCAAAATTGGAAAATTCAAGATGGCGCATCCAATATGGCGAACGAGTTTTGAAATTATGATCCGATTCTATTTAAAATTGGTATCGGAGGGTTTTCGGGTTCGGAGATTATGATTCTGTCATCAAAGTTTGGAAATTCAAGATGGCAGATCAAATCTGTTGGTTTGAAAATTCAAGATGGCGAATTCAATATGTCGAACGAGATTTGTAATAAATAGTGTTTCGAAAAATTAATGAAATACGCTTTCATAGATAGTCAAACTAAAATGAAGTAGAAAATTAATACTAGCTTAGAAAACTAAAGAGATACATGACCGAACTGGAAGGAAGTAGAAAATAAATAGTAGTTTGAAAAACTAAGAAAACACGCTTTTATGGTTAGTCAAACTAAAAAGAACTAGAAAATAAAATGATAAAAGTGTGTTATTGTTGAATATTCAGCTGAAAAAATATTTTCTAGAAATAATGTGAATATATAGCGAAACAACGTTTGCTGGGTCAGCTACAATCAATAAAATGACTCGAACTTAATTCAATATTTGAGTACTGTCTTCCTTTCAAATGTATTTTATTAAGTACCTAGCATAGTTCCGCGCGCAGGGTACAGCTAGTGTCATATAAAAAAAGACAATAGGCATCCTTAACTTGAGCAAACGACATAGATATGAATAGTTATACCCAATACCACATTTTTTTCTAGAAATATATGGCTTGTAGCAAAAATACAATATCCGTAACTGTTTTCGATCAGTTGATGTTGGTAGGTACTTCAGACTTCATCAGTATCAGAGTATTTGATGTATATCGCTGATTATATAGGTGTTTCCGAAATTCGGGACGATGAATAAAATGGGGTGTTCTATGAGACATAATGACAAGATAAATCTCCAGACAAAATTATTTTGAACATTTTTCAAAAATTGTGCGCTCCCACCATACTACATCTTTCAACTATTATTGAACGTCTGGCAACATTGCAAAAGTCATTGATACTTCCGGTTCTTGTGATCTCGCCGAAAGCAAACGCTTGGGTTGGGCTTTCAACCTCTGATCAATGATTTGACAAAAGTTTCAGGCAAACTTTGAAGCTCAATATCTTCCAAAATATTTGTTCTTCGACTAAAATGTATTCTTTCATCTGGTTAACTAGGACCAACATACCTGTTTATACCTGGCAACCAGGAATGATATAGCCAACCAAACGCTTGTATATTCTATAGGCTGTTTACTTACGGTTGGTGTAAATTTTTTTCATTAAACACAATAACGGTAGAAATAAGAAAGTGATTTTCGAATTTTCCATCAATTATAGCCTGGCCAGAATTTTTTCAGGCAAACCATTTTTTTAATAATTTTCAACATACTAAATTACTTATGAAATAATTTTCATGCATTAAACAGATGGAGATGAAGGTCGACCTCATACTTCGGATCCTCTACTATTATGTTCACGAGATATTGATCTCAAAATAGTATCTTCTTTGAGCTGTTGAGATCCTGCTGAAAATATCTGACTCACTCTGTATTTATAAGGATTGCTATATCTAGTATAAAATACTATTTCTAAATTATAAGCAGGTGAAAAAGGCAATACGATATAATCTCCGCATTCTGGGTTCTCTATTACCACCCTGGGGGGACAATACTTTTATTTTTTAGTTGTGATGAAATTTTCAACCATTATAGACTTTTCAATGACAATGAGCTTGTGACATGTTGATAAGTAATATGATAATATCTTTACGTTATATAATATAAATCATTTATGTGCACTCGATATGCATAATGATAATAATTATATGGATTATTTCGAGTTGCATGTTCATAGAGTCATTATATCCGGATAAATAACTTGTCAACTGAGGAAATGACGGATTTCGTGATCAAAGTGATTAACGGTGCATAATAATGAACTTAAAATGAGCCTATATCGCCACCTTGATAATCAAATTCTTGCTATTTCTTCATTTTACAAGGGCCAGTCATAATAATATTCACACATATATAAATCATAATTTATTCTGATTCACCAGGACCAATGAAACATGATATTAATGATATTCAATGGTACTGATTTTCTACAAAAAATGTTTCGGAAACTCATTCTAATAATTAAGACAACTTATACCTATTTGCCGACTTGCAGAGTCAGAACGGGGCCTTGAGGCACACCTAAAGACGTCGAAATACTGTTATAAAAATTTAAAAGTGGATTGATGTGTTTCTAATGATACTATAATTTAACACGTTCTTTTAT